CTAGTTTCTCATTCTTTATGGCTGAGTACTACTCCCTTTTATTAAAAAACAAACAAACAAACAAACAAAAAAACACATCTTCTTTATCCAGTCTCCAGTTGATGGGCAAATTGGCTGTTTCCAAACTTTAGCTGTTACAAACTGTGCCACTATAAACATGGGTGACCATATATTGCTGTGGTATGATGCTTTTAATTCTTTTGGGAAGATACCTTCCAAAGGAATAGCTGGGTCAAACGTGACATCTAATCCTAGTTTTTTGAGGCACCTCCATATTGATTTCCACAGTGGTTGCACCAGTCTGCACTCCCACCAGCAATGGAGAAGTGTTCCTTTCTTCCCACACCCCTGCCAGCATTTGTTATTGGTTGATTTCCTAATAACAGTTATTCTTTCTGGGGTGAGGTGGAATCTCACAGTTATTTTCATCTGCATCTCTTGAATGACCAGTGATGGTGAACATTTTTTCATATGTTTATTTGCTGCTTTTACTTCTTTGTTTGAGAAATGTCTGTTCATTTCAGATGCCCATTTTTGAATTGGATCTTTATATTTGGGGGTCTGATTTGTTTAAGTTCTTTATATATTCTAGATAGTAGTCCTTTGTCTGAGGAACAACTGATAAAAATTTTTTCCCGCATTGTGTGGGTTGTCTCTTAGCTCTGTTGGTGGTTTCTCTTGCAGTGCAGCTTTTTAATAAGATGAGATCCCAGTTGATTCTTTGTGCTAGTTCCCATGCTACTGAGGTTTTGTTCATAAAGTCTTTTCCTATGCCAGTGTCTTCAAGAGTTCTACCTAACTTATTTTCCAACAAGTTTAGTGTTTCTGTTTTTATATTTAGATCTTTAATCCACTTCAATTTTAGTTTAGTGAATGGTGAAAGATAGGGGCCTAGTTTTAATCTTTGGCAGGTTGGAATGCAGTTTTTCCAACACCATTTATTAAAATGGCTATCTTTCCTCCAGTGAGGATGGTTGGCTCCTTTGTCAAAGATGAGGTGGCTGAGTATGTCTGAAGTTGTTTCTGCATTTTCTAATCTATTCCACTGATCCTTGGGTCTGTTTCTTTGCCAGTACCCATGCTGTTTTTATCACAGTGGCTTTGTAGTGTAGTTTAAAATTAGGAATTGTGATAACCCCCATCATGTCTCTGTTGCCTAGAATTGCTAATTTTTCTCCTTTTGACAGGACTATAGATGATTTATTTTCTTCTTCCTATTTCTTTTAATTATACTTTAAAATTCCATAGTAATATATTAAACTTTTTATATTTTGTAGAAACATGAGTTTACACCACCAACAGAATAAATTTTAAACACCTTGGTTGCAGACTAGTGATCTTCCACAACTGGGCTCCAACTTCTCTTCTCTTTACTTTTCACATTTTATTATTACTTTGCATTTCAGTAAAAGCAACTGTCATTTTCCATACAATGCAGTTTCCATACAATACAGACTCTTTTTTTCCTCAGTGGTAGAACTCAAGCCCAGGACTTTGCACATACTAGGCAAGTACTCTACCACTGCACTACATCCCCAACCCTGGACTCTAACTTTCTTACTCTGCATAATTGTGTTTTCTATTGCTACATTTTCCTCCACATCCAAATCATTCCAAATCATCTTAAACGCTGCTTCATCTATATTTCTTTTTCTAATGTAAACAGAGTTAAAGAGAAGGGGAAGGGAGGGGAGGAGAAGGGGATGTAAAAAGAATTAAGATGTGTTATGTACATATACCCACTCCTCATAATGAATGTAATTATGTCCTGTAAACATACTAGTAAAAATAAAAATTAAAAAACTTTCTGCTCAACTTCTTTATTTTTTACAGAATTAATAATATCAGAGTTATCTCCTCTTCTAAATAAAAACCTTCTTGCCATCATTTCTTTTTTTCTTGTTTTTTGGGAAAAGCTAATTTTAAATTAGTTTTACCTAATTTTGTCATTTTTTAATAAATTTCTCTTTTAAATTTTACCTCTAAATCTGCCCTTTTAATCTGGATATTCCAAAGATTTTAAGACTTATACACTTGATAAATTAATGTACAGCTGATTTATTGTATCAGAAAGCTGTTGCAAGAGTCATAAATCAGTATGTCAGAAAAGCATGACAAAGAGGAAGACAAATGTGAAGATGTAGTAAATAGAATGTCACTTGTAACTACAGTTTTTAAATATAAAATTTCAATCAATTTGAATTTAATTACAGACTTCTGATCACTAGGAGATCAGGTTTGTAAAATCAGCCATTATCTGACCAGTGTATACGGTTAGTCATGAAATGAATTATTGTTCATTTCTGTGTTGAAAATGTCCATTTTTCCCTGGTGTCCACATTTTCCCACTGTATATTAACTAACTCATCCTTGCTTTCTATCTTCCCTCCGCCCTTTCCTTCATCTACTCAATTGTTCCTTAGTTTACCTAACCCTTTTTATTAATGAATTTCTGTATTAAATGTAATCAAAGAAATTCAATTTAACAATCTCTTTCATTATTAAAAATCTCTCTCATTCTACAATTTTAGTTTGGGTGTTTGGAAGACATGTGAATGAGAACTTTGAGTGTGTCTTCAATTTTATTAGAAAAACCTACGATAGCTTGAATCTTTTTCTATGCAGATAAAAGTTTCAAAAATTCAATTAGAAAGTATTTGGTAAGATCTGGGAATTTAGACAGCTTTGCATGATTTGTAATTTTTGTTTTTTAATCTACATATTTGATTTTGGGGGGGAGTGTTTCATTCATAATTAATATGTTAATTCTCTAAGCAACTTTTGAGTATCTACTATATGCCAAGTGCCATGTTAAGTACTAGTAATACAAAATCAAATGAGACATGATTTATATTCTCAAGAAACCTACAATAAGATGGGGGGACCAATAAATAAAGCAATACACTACAGCTTAGTGTGAAAAATGTAGTAAAGGAAGCAGACACAAGAGATCACTGAGGAGTAAGCACTGGCTCTCCCTGGGACTCAGGAAAGGTCTCTCAGGGAACTCTCTGGAACTCTTTAAAAATGTCACCTTCTACATCAGCAAAACTTTGTGTTTAGTTCAGACGCAATACTGTCCATTTTGCTGATAACATCTGAATAGTTAGGAAAATAATAATATCTTTCAGACTTCTTTCTAAACTTTAAATATATTTTTAGTTATAATGCTAGAAAAAATTTATAAAGGAAAATCCTTAATCTAGAAGGAATTAACCATTGTGGCTGCCATGGCCCTTTTGTTTTAATTTCTTACTACTTTTTCTGCTTGGTTCCATTGTCCTTCTTGACATTCATGTCTGGCACAGGCTCTGCCATCACCGCTGTACCCTCTCCTCATATCAGCATGGACAGATATCTTTCTCTTAATCAAGACAAGATAGAGTTTTTTTTCTCAAAGGAATAGAGGTTCAAAGAACATTAGTTTTGAACTGCTTTGGGGCAGAATTTAGTCCAAAAATGGATGCTTCAATTGGATGTATGACCTCCTGTGAAGTGACCATAAGACAACTGCTTGGGCATCTCCAGTTTTAGAGATCTTACTACCAATGAGACATTCTATTGTACATTTTGTACATGTTGGGTGAAATTCTTCCAAATTTTTATTTATGAACATTCAAAAATAAAACAAAAAAGCAAAAGAAATGTAAATGTTGGAGAGAAAATCTTACACTTATTAAATACGTATTAGGTGCACAATACTATGATTTTATCATTTTACCAAGTTCTCTTTCCTTTCATGTTTCTCCCTTTAGCAACAGCATAAACCAGCAAAGAAAAAACCAGCAACAGGTGGTGATCAGGGAAGTATAGGGTAGTAGGTGGGAGCAGGTGATGAAGACTGTAAAAAGGTCAGTGAAATATTTTCCTCTAAAAATGTTTAAAGTCTTCCCTATTCACATTTATTATACACCAATGATGTGAACAACACTGTACAAAGAAAGGAGAGGAAAAGGGAAAGGAAAGAAGGATGGGGAGGGGAGAGAAGGGAGGGGAAGGAAGGCAGGAAAGAAGGGAAAGGAAGTTAAGGGGAAGGGAAGGAATGGGAGATGGGAGGGGAGGGGTGGGAAAGGAAGGAAGGAGAAGGGGAGAGGAGGGGAAGAAAGGGAAGGAAGGAAGGAAGGGGAAGAAAAAGAGAAGGAAAGGAAAGAAGAAAAAAGAGCATAAGGAGAGAATTTAGGATGGCTTCCCCCACTCCAATTTTAATCATCTAATCTGAATTTAGAAATGAGAAGGACATTGAAAAGGAAAAAATAAAAAGAAGCATAAAAGATAAAGACAGGAGACTGGAAGTCCAGTGAGCAATACAATTCATTTCAATTCTACAAATATTTATAGAATAGCTATTATGGGTCCATCACTCATTAATAAATTGGGTACAAAATTAAAACCAATCCCAAACCTTCTTTTTCACAGATTCTCTTTGTTCTTCTCTGCTCATGAGCTTCTCTTCCTTAAGGATTAGCAAATACAACCAGGAATGAGTTGCAGGTACTTCCAATTAAGGGCTCAAAAAAGAGTAAATTTTCTTCCAGATACACTATGCATTATATTTTAAGGTGTAATAATGTGGACTATAGCTACACACGCACATATATATACAACTTTTCATTTGCTTACTATATATATATATATATATATAATTTTAGCATGTGTTCTTAATATAAAACTTGTGTTAAAATTCTGTACAATTTTGACTTTTTACCAAGTCAATTTACATTTCTTCTCAAACACACAAACATAAATTGTCTAGTGAATTATAGCCAGTTTTTCTAACATAAAAAAATGCCCCAGTTTTCTCTTTTGCTCCAGGAAGCATTTCCTGGAGATTAGTCACCATTTTCCCTTGCACAACTGGGAAGGTTGAGCGAAGTTAGTAAAGTAGGTTGTATCATGTGAAGCTGGAAGCTTTGGAAACAATCCTGCTGTTATTTGGATGAAAGTAATGATGAGTCAGTCTGTGGGTGATCTAAATAAACATCACTCTATAAAAGTTGGGAGGCAGAGGGTAGACCTAGAAGGAGGTAGGCAGAGAACAAGGCATTAAGACAGTGCAGAGCTGCTAAAGCTGGTGGAATGAAGCATCTTCCAATCGTACTGTGGTTGTGTGTGGCAGTTTGCTCAGCCTATCCATTGAATGGAGCTGCAAGAAAGGAGGACAGCAGAATGGAGCTTCTTCAGGTAATTAATGGAAGCAGCCATCACACTCACTGACAGGGCTAAGAGGGGAAACAAACTCTGCCATCCACAGCATCATTCAACTACTGTGTAGAAATAGTTCAGGGACAGAGAGTTACAAACTTTTGGATGTAGAAAGGGCCTTGGAATCACACCATTCAGGCTTCTCCTTTTACGTACAGGAAGAAACAAAGGTGTGAAATATTAGTTATCTTCAAGGTCACACAGCAAAGCAGCAGTAGTAGCTTAAGGCACATGAATGAGTGAAGAGCGTATCAACTATATCTTGCTTTGGAACTTTTTTGGGTATTTTAATCCAATGTAATTTTAGCTAAATAGTCACAGTACTAATGTCATGCTTACACAAGGGAATTTACCCAAACCTTTTTTTAAAAGCCAGATTCTTATGAGAAGCATAAATTGGGAAATTGAAGAAATTGAATAAATTTACCTGAAATACACAAATACATTTAAAGAAATTTATCTGTGTATTTTGGTTTTGACCTTTAAGGACCCTGGATATTTATTTGAATTTTCCACTTCATTGCTTTGGTGGCAAACTAAGCAGCAAAGATATTTAGCTACAAAGAAAAAGCAAAGGTGAGGAAGTCTGCCATTGAACAATTAAATGAAATACGACATTTATTATTTCAGCAAGCTATCCAAACAATTCAAATAGATTAAGAAAAATGAGCTACTGCAAAGATTTACTGTAAATAGCTATAACTAAAAAAATCATAAGAATGACCTAAAAACTATACTTATTCCATTAGTTTCAATAAACTGGGTAATAATTAAAATAGATCTTGAAATTTAAGAAAATTACTAAAAGATTATAAGAATTAATTAAAAATTGTACTTATTATTCCTTTAGCAATACCTAGAAAACTACTACAACCTCGGAAAAGATGTGACACAATTTTTTAAAAGAAAGGACAGTAGTCTTGTTGTTAAAAAAATCCAAGAAATGCAGAAATTCCTTGGGTTGGAGGTGACAGGGAAGCTGAATTCTGACACTTTGGAGATGATTCACAAGCCTAGGTGTGGAGTTCCAGATGTTGGTCAGTTCAGCACCTTTCCTGATATGCCAAAGTGGAGGAAAAACCATCTTACTTACAGGTAATGGCTCCAAGAAGGATTTTACACAATACTGAAATTTTATAAGCTGTATTACGGGTGAAAATATTGCCCTCTTCATTTTTCTCATAAAGGATTGTGAGTTACACACAGGATTTACCAAGAGATGAAGTTGATTTTGCCATTGAGAAAGCTCTGAAAGTCTGGGAGGAGGTGACCCCACTCACGTTCTCCAGGATACATGAAGGAGAGGCTGACATAATGATCTCTTTTGTATTTCGAGGTAAAATTCAGATCAGAACAAAACCAAAAACACCTGAAATGCATCCATTTGTCTGGTGTTGTTTTATTAGATAAGGCAAGAGATCCTAATAACCTTATCACTCCAATTTAAATTTGTTTCCCTCTTAGAACATGGAGACTTTATCCCTTTTGATGGACCTGGAAGTGTTTTGGCTCATGCCTATGCGCCTGGGCCCGGGATTAATGGAGATGCTCACTTTGATGATGATGAGCTATGGACAAGGGATACAACAGGTTAGTGGTGATGCATCTCTCAGAATAAATTAGTGCTAATTTCTTTTTATATTTAGAAAACTCTCAATAACCAAGAATGATTAAGAAATTATGTGTTCTAGATTTTTCAGTGGATCAAGAATAAGCAGAATATATTTTTGTTTTAGTAATTACTAAATACATTTTCAGATGCTTAAAAAGCTTATTTCCTATGTTGGTAAGCACAACACAGGGAATATATGTCATTTACTTAATGATCATGTATCTTGTGTGATCTAAGGACCACGATTATTAAAAACATTTTTTCATTATATCAAATAGGAGATATCCACAAGATAGTGTATTGTATTCAACTGAACTAAAATGTACCCTGGATACTGCTTATGTAATTCCTCCAATTTATTTATTTTATTTTTCAAAAAAGAAATGAGATTTGAATTCCAGAAACTGAAAATCTCTCTCCTTCCTCTCTCTCTCTCTCTCCTTGCTAAGTCAACATTTTTACTACCTCTGAGTTAAAAAGAATTTTTAGAAACTTGTAAAAGAAGGGACTAATCCCCAAATACAATGTCCACACTGTTTAGATAGAAGAATGTTTCTGAGTCTATAACCTTGAGAAATGACTTCCAAAGTTTTCCAAAAAATTGGCTAAAACAAGTAACACTATTCCTGAGATTTAAATAGGATTTATGATAAAAAATGTAAACAGATCAAATGTGAATTTCATACTAAGTAACATCTTGTAAAGGAAACTTCCCACAAAGTCTCAAATGATAACATTCATTGGGTCACAATTTACATAAGTCATATTTACAAAAATAAAGTGGATTACTTGTTATAGCAATCATAATTACCAAAAATCTTCAAATTTCAGCATTATAGAGTTTAAAAAATATGTAATATGAAGAAAAAAATCTGAATACAGCCAGTATTTGTGTGTCCAAAATCTATTTTGTGACAGATGTTGGACATGATTAGGCATGTTGCGTTTTAAACCAGTTTTGCAAATCCTATGACATATATCATTATTCATCTTTTTTGGACTCAGAATGTATGGAGTAATAATCATGAGGCTAAAAGTTATACAGGCAATATTCCAATAGAAAAAACAGAAGTATGGTCGTTCAGGGATGTCAGAAACGAGATGAATACACCGATTTGTTTAACCTAGAGGGTAACCTGCAAATATCAATACACTGAAATACTGTTTAGCTTTTCACTAATAAATGAAGAGATAAATTTTTTATATTCTAGACAAGAGTGTTAATTCCATTTCTAAGCACAAAGAAAAGGATTTGGTTCTCCTGATAAGAGGTTCTTGAGGCTAGAGCAGAGACAGTTGGCTTTCCTTTAAGTGCATAATTATTCAATAGCTCTGTTAATCAATACGGGGAATAAAACCCTCTGTGGGTTAAAAATGTCAATATATACAATGCACAACTGGCCTATGTAATATACATGATCATTAAGTTATAAGTAACTGTTATTTATGATTTCTTAAATAGGGACCAATTTATTCCTGGTTGCTGCTCATGAACTTGGCCACTCCTTGGGTCTCTTCCACTCCGCCAATACTGAGGCTTTGATGTACCCAGTCTACAACTCCTTCACAGACCTAACTCGATTCCGCCTTTCTCAAGATGATGTGGATGGCATTCAGTCCCTCTATGGTGAGTGATGTCAGAAAAGGTAGACCTTGTAGCTTTTCAGCAATGCTACATAAAATATTTGTAATGTAAAACTCAAAGCACCGTGAGGAGGTCTGGAAAACACATAAAATGACATATGTATCACATTTTTCCTAATGCTGATTCTCCCCTAATCTGTTTTCTTTAGGACCTCCTCCTCCCTCTGCTGGTGACCACGTGGTACCCACAGAGTCTGGGACACCAGCCGCGTGTGATCCTGCTTTGTCATTTGATGCAGTCAGCACCCTGAGGGGAGAAATCTTGTTCTTTAAAGACAGGTCAGACTGGAAGTTGTAGTCCCCTATCTATTCTCATGATGTACAGTGCTTAAAAAAAAACAACAAGGAGAAACCTGGTAGAGATCTTTAAACATTTAAGACAAAAATGGTACCTTTTCTACATTTTCCTAAAATTGTCAAGTTCATTTTTGTAGACTCAGAATGATTTGATCCCTGTCCTCAGACTGTTATTCCCAAATGTCCTAAGTACATTTTCAAAAGGTACAAGTAGATCTTTATAATCAAATTTTTTGAACTTCTTTTCAAAGTGACCCCTGGATAAGAATTACATTTAATCAATTAATTTACTGACGAGTGGATAAATATGCACATGATAAAACACTCATACTAAACAAGTGAAAGTTAAGTTTTGATTCTCCAGATCTTATATCCATCCACGATCAAAATTTCTTGTGTATTTTTCCATCATTGATCTATGTGTATATAAGAATAGATTATATATATATATATATGTATGCAGTATCCTTTTGAAAAGTGTGAATGATAGTCTAGATCATATACTGTTTTTGCAAGT